TAACGGTTCGGTTCGAGTTCGGTTCGAACTTCGAACCTTTCTTGAACTCAAGCCAAAGTCCGGTTCGAGTTCGGTTCATAGGAACACTATTAATAAGTTAAAAATAAATAAAATATTTTATAATATATTTAGTTTTAATAATTATATTTGAACAATTTATAATAGTTATTTTGTTATTTTATTTTGTTTTATATTAATTTTGTATTAATTTATCATGTTTTATTTTTGTTATAACTTATAAATTTATTTCATTATAATAATATTGAATAACTAAATAATAATAATATAAGTATAAAAATATTAATATTATTTCTTTTTTTATAATTTCTCTCTTAAATATATATTTATTTGATTCTCTCATTATAATTTTTTTATTTCTCTCTTATATACTTTATTCTTATAATTATTTTTTTAATTATTTAATTTTTTTAGTTAGTTTTTTTCATTATATTAATTAATATAAATATAGGACTTAGATATCACTTTTTTTTAATATTTAATTCATTTATTTAATTTTCTCTTCCAATTCAAATTCAAGTTTGCTAGCTGATTTTATAATTAGTAAACAAACTTGTAACACTATTTCTTTTGATTGAAATATTAATAATATTATTTCTGAATATTTTAGATCAAATTTAATATTTGTTTCATATGCTTTTTCAGATAATTTTTCTTTGTTATTATTATTAAATAATTTGATTTCTATATTATCTTTTATAATTATGAATTAATTAATTTCTAATTTATTATTTTTTCTTTTAGACAAGTTACTGATATATTAATTTTGATTATTTGTTTTTAAATTAAATTGAACTTTTTTTTAATTTATTACTGCTTTGTATTAATATGTTCAATTATTTTCAAGTATTAGATTATAATTATCTTTTTTAGTAACTAAGATATCTATTTTCAATTCTTGAAAACTAATAATAATTAATAGATTTATTATTTTTTCAAGTGCTTTTAATTTATATTTATTAATTCCAATTAAATTAATATTGCTTTGTCTTTGAATTTTCTAATTTATCTTTTTAAACTATTATAAAATATTATATTACTAATTATTCTATTATCAATTATTATTTTTGCTAATATATTTCCAATTTTTTCAAAGATATGTATTGTATCTACTGGTCTTTATTTATTTTCTTATTTATTATTAATTAATAATTTCTTTAATATATTTTTGTTAATTAATGATATATTAATTATTGTTATAGTATTAATATTATATTTTGTTATAACAAAACTCTTTTGCATCTTTCTCTTGTAGATCCTTGATCCACAGGTGGAGCAAAATTACAAGTTACCAAAACTCTTCAAGTTCATTATCAAGAGTTTCATCCAAGCTTTTCTACTATCACAATCTATCGGATTCATCTCAAGCTTCAATTTAATACTAATCTTTATTAATTACTTTTTTCCTTTTAATTCTTCTTTTGCACTTTTCATTTTTTTGCATTTTCTTTCTCTTCTCAAAAATTACAAAATCAAAAAATATATAAATATAATAATACATAAACAAAAAAAATAATAATACTTCAATTTTCTACACGTTAACACACCCATAATAATGACTTCTTTTCAAGAAGAAAATACTTCTTTACTTTCTAGCTTACCAACAAATTCTTTGCTACCTCACCCATACCAATGTTCAAAAAACACTCTGCAATCATTAATAAAACCAGAAAATCTTCCGACAAAAAATCAACCAATAAAAGACAAAAAAAATCACGCAATAATTCATATAATCACACGATTAGATCAACCACACGCAGTATGTCCAAAAAGGCTAATCTACACAATACAAACACAGAAAACAATACAGAAATAGAAACTGATTACAACAGTGACATCATCTCAGTATATAGTTATGCACAAATATCTGAAATAAAAATATACTCACTCCTGACACCAATATTGCACAAAAAAATATATTACATGATAATAACTCACAATTGCTTTAACATTCAGAAAATGAAACAATCCCAAATTTTATCAACCCTAAATTGACAGAGAAAGACTTCACATGGCAAGTTGTCACTAGTAAACATTACTTTAAAGAATGAATTAAAGAAAGTGATCTGCCTGAAGAGGAAATTGCAGACAAAATCAAAAATATCAACAAAATTCTCTACAGCATTCAAGGATATATTAATACAAAAACCATTATTATTAATGGAAATAAATACATCATCATCGAATTTAATAATAAAGAGAGTCTACAAACAGCAAACAGCAAATTTCTCCAACTAACTAAAATCAAACCAGATAATTACTTAACATTCACAAACAATATAATCACAATCCAAGATGTCTCCTTAGGCACCAGCAAAATGCAAATCGAAAAAGCTATAGAAAAATTCGGCAAAATTCAAGAAATTCGCATGATCACGAAAGAAAAGTGGGAATACACAACTGTCAGATTTATATCAGAAAACAGTATACTAACAGCAATAAACGAATAATCTACTCCTTTTGAAAATGACAGAATTCGAATCCTCCCTCTTACTGAACAACAAAAAACTATCGCATTATGTGACAGATATAGAGCCAAACTAGTCAACCTTCCATGGGACACCACAGCTTATAAACTTGACAATATTCTCAATGCTATCAAGGCAAAATTCTGTTTTATTCCATGATCTCCTGTTAAATACCAATATCAACGCTTTGCATGGATCACATTCGAAACTGAAACTGATTTCACTTCAGCTATGCTAAATAAATTCATTTTGCGTGACAGCAAAATTTGGTGGGAGCTAACAGATAGTTCAGTCTGTAACTTATATTTTAAAAAAAATTATACAGCATGTAAATGCACAAGCAAAGTTCAAAAAGTCACACAATTCAGACAACTAAATAAATTATATAAAAATCATGGAATTTCAATTAAGGATACCTGCCTAAATTCTTTCAGAAAAATATCATCATAATTTCAATGGTTACACACTAATTGTTAATTAGAATTTCAACATAATTTCAGTTACAACGGGTTTCAAAATTCGTCAGAATTTTGACAGATTATTTACTAATAGTTTATTATAATTTAGACAGTCACTAAGAGATTTTGGCAAGCAATCTTAATTCCAATCAGAAAATCTATAATTCACACTCCACGAAAGAGTTACAAACAAGCTTTACTCAATCAACAAAACTCATCATCTTCTAATTTCCAAAACTTGAATGACACAACTCCAAAAAAAAATCAAACTTCTAATCTTCACAACTATAACAATACTAATACGATTTCTAAAACACACTCAGACATGATTGACCAGCTGCGCAAAGATGTTAATCTTCTAAATGACAAATTTGTTAATATGGAAAACAAACTAGACAAAATCCTCAATAGCCTTCAAAAAACAAATAACAAAGATATTCTCACAACACCTACGCAATCAACAAGTCAACAATCATATCCAACTACACCCACTCCACACTCAAATCAAAAAGAAAT